ATGCCGTAACACACATAAAAAAAAAAAAAAAATAAACATACCGTCGAATTGAATACCTCCTTCTTTTGGGAAGTCGGTCAAAAATACAGCTTTTTGTAAATCTTTACACGCATGTTGCATACCTTTATTTGCCTTTTATGCGATATTTATTGATATCAAATTGTCTTTATATTGTAACAGATGCCATCGAATTCACACTAATTACATAGAACGCAAATTCTTTGAAGTAATAAAAATACTGAATACTAGTGCTTTTGTGTGAAAATAAAATTAACCAGGAAACATGTATTAGCGCACGTAATATGTTTGCAATTTAAAACATCACCTTATATGAATGACAAAGCATAAATGAATACATTTTCTACATGTACGATCAATATCTCATGTTCTAAGGGCTTATTATGTACTGTAATATAAACTTGCTTTAATAAAGTTATGAGCTTGTCTTCCTCATCCACTTCCTTGTTATAATTAATTATTAAATTATACTATGATAGACATTAAATTCATCGACCTAGGAATGTAAAAAATATTTAAAATTACTAGTGTAGATAGGTATCCTTTTTCTACACTTAACATTTTTATGTTCTCTGTACTTATCGTTAAATGCTCTGGGCAAAACATTTTGCTTAGATGCATTTTTTTAATATTCCATTTTTATTATAGAAACTATGGCATGAAATCGCTTTTTAATTTACGGACGACAGTGTTGATAAATATAGCCAGGAGTAATATATTACAACTAAACGATATATAAGCACCTAAAGCGTTGGAACGCAGTCGCGTGACATCAATTAGTGCTATAAATAATTTGCCAGTTAGCTTTCTCTATGTTATACCGTCAATATATTTCATGTAATAAAAAACACTATGATTAATTATAATTGTCATTAAATCGTCAATTAAAAACCATTATCAAGTTTAATGAAGTAATTCTTGTAGTAGGAAAGCGTCGCTAAATTGTCTATTGTTTTTCAAATATTTATCTACTGTAAAAATGCGTCTTTTTAACTAAATATGCACTCAATTCTGCTGTTGTACGAATTTGCTGATTTAATTTCAAGAGCATTTAACGCTTTACGTAATTGATAGTAACTATTTCTAGCTGTAAACGGTAATATACATATAACAAAAACCATCTACATTAACATCCTTTTGAAACCACTTGTAGGGAATATCTATGTAAAGCTATTTAACAATAAAATCACACACAAACATAGTTAAACAATACATACCATGCCAACGGTGATTTTCTATTTCTCCTAATTCCCAGATGAGCCTGCATTGTAAGTCGACCACAATTTGATTTGATTTCGGAATGTATTTTGTAACACGACATAAATAAAAATTCTCCAACTCAATAATATTTCCGAAATCTAAAGAACCTATGAGGCTTCCTAATGCACTTTGTAATGTGCAAATGTTATCGCTTGGGACTCGTAATCCGCACTCGAAGCATCGCCATGATGAAGAAGATTTAAGAGGCTCTATAGGCAAAAGAGAACCTGGACACTCCGCGGAGAAACATTTGAGAGCAGCTAAAAATGTTCCGCGTTCTGTTGGATCAGCACAGCGCTCGCATTTGCACAAGAAATGTTTAGTTTTATACAGATGGATTCGACGTGCTGGCGTCCCCCACAGTAGCCCCGTGTAGCACGTAAATATTTCACACCCAGCCTTTATCGGTTTTACAGTTTTCACGATCATCTGGAGATCACTATTGTAGTTGTATCTAGTATTCGGTACACAGTTGTGATTCAGCAGAGATGATACCGGGTAGAGACCCCTCTTACCCATTTCTTCTTTCCCATAGGAAGTAGCGATCTGAAATGCATTCGCATCTAGCACGCAACTCGTTAAAATCATAAGCTGTACGTCATGCTCCGGGATCTCAAAATACTGTTGCAATTCTTGTATTTCCGTGCCATGTTGCGGCAGCACATGTGCTTGAAGGGAAATCATAAATCGTTTTTGCTCTTCATTCAGTAATAGAGCTCTTATGGCCGTCAGCGCTCGTGACAGTAAGGCGGCATCGACTTCCTCGATGGACACTTTATTGCGCCAACCGGAAATTATTCCACAGTCATCGTTATGAACACTACTATTTTGACACGATTCCGAGCAAAGCAAAAGAGAACATTTATCACACTTGAAAAATTTGTTTTTGTTTAATTTGCAGCAAACGGTACATCCGCGACGTATTAAAGTGCCAGATCGTGGGCCGGCGATGAGAGGATGGTCGACGAATAACACTTCGCCGGATACCAAGTCCTCCGTTGCGAAGAGACCGCGGCCACCCAGTGGAGATTCTTTGATTATCCATTTCGCTGTATATTGAGCTTCATTCGCGTTACCGTTGAGTCCGAGATGAGCATGGACCATTTGCGACAATTGTTCTATCGACAACATCCTCTCGCCACTCGCTCGAAGCCGGTACTGCACGCGGACTCGACATTAATATACACATCAGCGAGTATGATAACATGAGTTAAGCCGTGATCGGATTAGCATCGCCAAAAGTATGTTCGATCCTGTCCGTAATTAACCGTGTCCGATAGACGTGCGGCAGGCGCGTGGGGCGCGTGCTGTCCGTCTGTACCTGACGCCGGCCGCAGTCGGCTCCGCGTGCCATGCCGCCGCCGAGCCACTGCCAAGCCTGTGTTATGTTATCAGGTAATTTACGCACGAAACACTTTGATCAATATGTTCGTCTTGCGTCTGGCAAGTTTCGCGATTACCTGACTACATCGTGCCAACTTTCGAAAAGAATACATTTGGACATCTGGGAATTTGGGTATTTGTTATGTAAGGAGGCAGATAGTTATTTTTAAATCAGACTGGTGGTGACAAGAGTAATGTGTTCGTACAACTACACAATTTACATATACATTTCTTCGGAAACGTAGAGCTCTTTCATGAGTTTTGGGATCAATATTTTTTGAATTTTGTTGCGAATGAAAGATTTAAGTTGTGTACTGGTAAAATGTTTATAATTTTGCATCAAACTTTGTACAACTTCCAAACAATCTATTTAAAATGACGTAGCTATGCAATTTACTGCTTGGCGCATCTCAAACAGGACGTTTACGCCCCCGATGTCGCACACAAAGTGAAACCAGTACGAGTAACGCGATCCTGTTCCTTTGTGAGTCATTCGTCGGGTACTTGGATTCGGCAACCTGTCCATTCTACCTGAATACTAGACAAATGTGGACGTTTTTGTAAATGGATAAATATTTAATTAGAAATATTTCCGTCAGAACGATTTGCTTACATTTGGTGCCTAGCGTGCTATTAATTGAATTCATCCTGGAGAATGCAAGCACTTTTCGATTATCACGAAAATGGATGTCCATGGTACTACTTTGATAGCTCATATAAAACGTTGTTGGGCGCGTGTCTTATAGTCTTTGGTAAGCTTGTATCAATTATCTAAGTACTAAGAATTTGGCATATTAAAGTCGTTATCATGATTAATATCAGGGGAAAAATATTACATTAATAAAATATATCAATTGTAACTCTTGTCAGGTGTATTCGGGGTGCTGGTCAACGGTTGGCTTTTTGCCACATTCATCCACAGTCACCTGCTAATTTCCAAAAGTCACATACTTGTTCTAAATCTTTGTACGGCTTCGCTTGGCAGAAATATCCTCGGCTTCCCATTTTCGGGCGCTTCGGCTATAGCTAAAAGGTATGTAGTTTATTTTTATCAGTGCTAAAAATAATCTCATGTACATCGTTAATGTACTTAGTATACAATATTTTTATTATTGGTATGAATTTTCATTGCCATTTTTTTAAATCTTTCAACACCTAATTTTGTGCCAAGTCCGATTAGCAATAATTCTTGTTTCTTGTCAACACGAAAATCTGGATTACTTTATTTCTACCGTGTGAAGCAGTAGGTGTATTATCAATTTAACTTGCTAATTTCGGCGGTGTCGTGTACCATTGTTCAGCTGCGGATATCCTTGTCGCGTCGCGTCCGATAATAGCACATTATTCTTAGATAAATGACAATGACTACTTATTAGTAAAACGGACAATTGTTTAAGTTCTGAAAAGTTTGCTTGTTTAGTAATGCGTAAAATACTTATAGCGCGTATTTTGGACTAAACTAACACCCGACTGTTTAGTTGCGCTTTCCTATGAATTTATATTGAGGTGCGCACAATCGATTTTTATCTGTGCAACTAAACAGTTGAATTGGCTGCGTAACAATCGACAATCGCATAACAGTTGTGCGATAGTTTAGTCAATGGTGTGCGCCCGTTATTAATATTTGTGTCATCAATATCTTCAAAAGTGGTTTAATTGTTGCGTTGCATTTTCAGATGGATTTTTGGATCATCGTGCTGTCAGCTGTTTGCATTTTTAAATCAATTTTTCGGGATCTTTCAACTGAATGCTTTATTTGCATTAGTATTGGAGAGGTATTTGTTGGCAAGGCGCAACAGACGAGGTGAGGTTTTGACTTCATAACGAAAATTCAAAAGTTCCTCTTTTTGTGATACAATAAGTTAATAATCTTATTCTTGTTTTGTTTCAGAGAAAACATTACACTTTAGATTCTACTTCACCGTAGTCGGTGTCTGTTGGATCAACTCTACAATATTCGCTACACCTCCATTATTTGGTTACGGCGTATACTCGTGTGACTCCACTGGCACAATATGTTCTTTCCTATGGCCTGCGCTGACATCTAGCACGAAAGAGTTAGGTTATAGTGTACCGTATGTTATAATGTGCGGTCTGGTACCATTAATAGCAATGTAAGTATCTGAAATACGAGTATAGTTAATCACATTTCGTACAATCTCAGTAGATGTGTAATTATTAATCAACTAATGGAATGCTTTTAATTTTTTAGATTTCATTTTATGGGTAAAGCTGTGCGTCTCGAACAAATATACTATAGAAATGAGCTGTTGAAAGAAGAAAAACGCTTAACTAAGGTATAGTTTAAGTAATAAATTATTAGAAAAATAAGAAGTCGCAACAAATACCTTATAATGATAATTATGAAGATTTTATAACGTTTACTTATTCCTTCTTATTAATTAATCTGAAGTATATAACACGAACGCTGCCTTTTTGATCGCTCTTTTGAAATTTAAGTTTGCGACAAAAATTTTATTCTACAGTAAGTTGTACATCTAAATAAATATGTTGAGGCTAAGCTTATTGACTATAGTTCTGTGTACTTTTTGGACAGAGTGTACACGGGGCATGTATAGCGACGCTAGCGCTGTGGGTGCCAGCAGGAGTGTTGGCCGGCTGGCAATGGGTACCGCTGCTCATCTACGGCTACAGGCCTCATGTCCCGCCGGTTCTCTCGCTGCTAGCACCCATCGCGTCCGAGGTAACCTCAGTCACTAGATGTTACCTAAAATTTAGGCAGACACCGCGGACAATACAAACAAAATGACATATGCGCAAATAATATTACAAACAAACAAAATACAATCTTTTTCAGCTGTTGAATGAAAGTGTGCGATAGTCTCGTTTAAAAATCCCAAAAAATGGGGACCTTTGAAGTAATTAAAGTGTTTGTTTGACAATATTCCAGGCGGCGACCAGTATACCAGTGTTGTGTTATCTGTGCGGAGACGAGAGGCTGCGCGCTGCGTTGCTGGGACGCATGCGCAAACAATACGGCCTGCTGCGACCGGACCGCGCACAGCGTTACATGAGGACATAAATTAATAATTCATTGTAAAATACGAAATTGTGAAGTTCAACTAGCATTAAGATATCAGCATGTGTATACTTTTTAATGACTGAATTTGTTAAAGTAATAAAGAACATTCTTTGCTAGTTATGTTCGAAGATTTTGACTGGTCTATCGTTTAGGTTTTTTAATTAGGTATGTGTTGTTTTAACTTTCTGTTAACCTATGATGTACTTTTAACTGTTTTCTATGTGTCACGGTACAAAAAATCTTGTGATAAATGTATATTTATTTTTGGAAAACAAAACAATAATTTATTTTATGAATTTACTTCCATAAAGCTCTAAGATATTAATTTTTGTTTTCTTACGCTTTTTCCCCTTTTTCATTTTAATCACCGCGACCGGTTAAAAGGACGACTAACGAAACTGGAACTATTTATCCAAGATTATATTCTGAAACAATAGATAAGTTAAACAGAGCGTAAGAAAACTTGTTTAATTTAGTCGTAGTACGCGGTGTAATATGAGATTTGAGAAGGCTTTGTATCGAATGGCTCACTGACGGCGGGGTTTGTTTTCCTAGCAGCCTGCGGGTTGTACGCATGCGCACTCCGAGCCTTCGTAACCCGACAGTCAGTTGCCGCATCTCCATTATTTTTAGCAACAGGTTAATGAAGAAACAATAATTAAAAATGTACGGAAAACCTATAGACACCGAAACATGCTACTGGGATGGAGCATTCAACCAGGACGATATTGTAGCGCTTATCGACGGTTGGATTTTAACAGGTGACTAACAATTTTATTAACTAAATACTACTTGACAATTGATCTTAGTGAATTGTGTTTCGTTTTACGCACAATATTGGTGAATTTAAGACAATGGGAATGTACTTACATGAGAAAAAATATGATTAAGTGTTAATATTAATGGTTATGGATATTGTTTCAATTGTTTTTCAGGTCGCATAGCATTTTTCTTAGTGATATGGTTGAATATAAATCTTTGGTGTACGGTATTACGACGTGATCTCAAGTATAGGAATCTGGCTGTATTCACCACTGTCTTGGCAGTCAGACGTGGATACCATTACATATTTTACATTTTGAGATACATGGAATATAAATGGTAAGTTAAATTTGTATGTGTTCCTACCTATTCGTTTGATTGATTTCTCTTCGGAAGAAAATCTTGGAATAGCATCTCAATTCTAATAGTTTAGCTGCTCCCGTGCGGCTTCATTCGCATGTAATAATAAAAACTTTATTTTACTGTTTACATTTTTCAAATTCTCAATTGCAAATGTCATAATTACCGTTACCATAATAACCTTGCTTCCTTAATGTTGGCAGCTTGTAGTTTATCTTCCCTTTCCCACATGAAGGATTATTCCAATTAATTTATCCCCTAAATTTTATAACGTGAAAATATATAGGCTAAAGCGTGTCGTAAGCGCAGGGATTTTTATTTAAGAAATAATTATTCATAAATATGCTGTGATTTCTGAAATCTTACGCCACAAGGTAGTGCGTGTTTACGCTTTATTATATTAGTATAGAAGTATAGATAAGTAGTATTACTAGTTAAAATGCTGAATTAATATGATTAAAAGTTAGGGAAAGGATTCGCTATCAGCCGATTCATTACTCGTCATGTCATATTTAGAAGTGGTCTTTTAATATAAGTAAAGCTGGGGGCTCTTATACTGTTTTAGTTATTTATAACGATAGTTGTAAAATGAAAATAATCTTTCAGGGTGGATGACATTCATAATTGCAGTACTTACGGCTTTATTGACACATTCCTGGGAGTGTATGAAGTTGAAAGTCTGACGCACATTTGTATCGAAAGATACGTAGTCGCTAAATATATCGCTAATGGTAAGAAATCTTCGGAAATTGAATTCTGAATTTTTTGTTTGATATTTAAATTTTTTTTTTATATTAACAGTCCGAATTTGTTTTAAAAAATACTAAATTTGTTTTAATTGTATTTTGAAACTCTGATGAATTTTTTTAATCATCACCTTTAGATGTGAAAATATTTTTTTTTTTAGATTTAATACAAAGTATGGTTATAAGACTGAGGTCGTATCTTGAGATATACCGGTAATTTTTTTTCCAGGTTGGCCTATAAGAAGATGGCATTACATTTTATACCCATGTCTGTGTCTGTTCTTCTCGACATTGTACTCTCTGGCACCGTTCTTCGGAGTGGGCAACTACGTGAAGGATTTCTCTTGCTTGACTTGCACATACAACATGGTGCTACCTGAAACATGGGAGAGATACGCGGTTTTAGGCATCTTCCTTCTTCGTAGCGCGAAACCAGTTCTATTCATGTAAGTAAAGCATTTTTTATTGAGGTTTTAAAGATATTTTTATATTTCACTACACTTGAATTTCAGTATTTGGGGTACATTTTTACATATTTTTTGTACTTTCCAGGTTGATAATGAGATTCTGGACGCAACAAATGGAAGCGAAATACGATGATAAAAATGTTCCTTGGGTGGAAGTGCGATTTGCTCATGTGAGTTTGAACTTCTTGAACTTGAACTTGAATTAAACCCTTTTTTATGGATTTGTTTACTTAATATCTAAACTTTAATATAATTATATATGTTTCAGATAGTAGATAGTTTAACAACAACAGTCCTCGGGTGCTGGATGCCTATAACTACAGTTAGAGCTTTAGTAATAATCTCTATCAATTTCTTAGAAATGGATGTCGACATGAAGGAATACGTTTGGGCAATACAATGGGCTGTGTGGGTCGAATGGGTAAGTTACTCTGATACCTGTATCTTTATAAACAACATCAGCAAGTTTAACATAACCAATGCCTCTTTCAGTAATGATTAGAATTTAATTAGAACTATAGCATTATTTTATGTAATATGAAGATGGATAACCTAAAGATTTTTTTGATATTTCGTCGAACGCCTGTACGTATTAAAGAGCACGAATCATTGTCACGTTCCTAGCACGAGACAAGCGTGCGAGCGAGATCGCGGATAGTGAGGGACGAGGACTAAGCGTCCTGTTTTTTATTTTATAATACCTGTCTACCATAATACCAGTTAGTGTTCACACTATGGAGTGTTCACATGGCACCAGTTAGTGTACACACTATGGAGGTTAATTACCAGTCCACTTTCTGAGCAAGCGCTCAGAAGCCTGACAAAGGCATTATCAAACTTACTGGCAGTGTGGCACAGTATGATTTGATACTTTGTTTCCAGTTTACGCCGGCAGTAGTGACGGTGTCTCTGCTGAGTGTGGATCATCTCCTCAGATCAAAAATGTTCGGCGGCGATAAGACGGAAGAAGACATTATCAAAGTTTTCGAAAAGGAAGATTAATTTAACTTTTTAATTCAACTTATACATACTAACTATAGTGAAAACACAAATGTACTAACAGTTGTAATACATGTCTTCCCTTAATTTTTCGTAGACGAAATAGGGACAATATATACCCATGGTAAAAACAAAAAACGGTATTGTAATAAAATAATCTTTATTATTTTTTCCTTAATTTACTCATAGTAATAAATTACTAACAATCGATATGTACATTTAAAAATAGCGTTTTAAGTAAGTATTTATAATTATAAATATTTTGTAGCCATGCGATAGATACACAAATTGGAAGGAAATTAAATGTAAGAAAACTTTTTTTCTTTTTTAATAAGGAGGAGTAGCAAAAGTTTTGTGTATTTACAAAATTTTTGTTTTATTATTTCTTAAGAAGTCTGAAAAGTACATGTTTTTTTTATGTAAAAGTCATTTGTTTTGAATTTTCATGTTCAACTTCGTGCTATTTCTGGTGAAATTTTTACAATTTTGGAAGGATTTTTATTATAATATAAAGTACATAGAAGTTTTTTTGCTTTCTTTTATTAAATTTTATACTTATGTACAGTTAAAGAGAAATAGGTTGAGCGATGGATCCTGTTATAGTATTAATATTTACGTTAAAAATATTTTCGATTGTATAAGGCTTAAAATTACAGTCAAAGTTTTATTTAACAGACTAAATATGTACTTTGGACAGTATTATAAAAGTAAGATTTTTTTTTATTTTGGGAAAACCAAATGAGGTACTAAATTTGAAAGTTCATAACTAATTTTAAAGTTTCTCATTATACAGATATCTGGATCTAATTTGTTGGTCCATGTTAAGGCCATTTGGAAGTAGATTATATATAAGATAACTACGTACATATAATGTTAAAATATATACCATGCATAGAGTCCTTTCTGTGAATAAACATTCTAAGGAGAATGTAATGTGAATGAACAAATATTATCTTAAAAATAAGGGCAAGTCAAAAGAAAAGTTTCTTACTATTAGCATAACAAAACTCAAATATGTATGGCGCACATATCACAGTTATTTTAGCTTTAATTTTATGAATGTATAAATTGAAATATTATATTTAATTGTATATTACAATCAGAAGAACAGATTTTAATTTATGCTATTTATATTAATTTTGTACATTTAAATTAATGTATAGAATTCTGTATAAATGCGCAATGTATATTCTTGAATAAATCTGTGTATTTAATGTCTAAAAGTAGAATTCACAAGCTGGTGATATAAGTATACAGAAGTGTAAAATTTGCAGTATTGTTTTGTATCAAAAATGTATTATTAATTACAATTATTGTGCACATCGGTTTTGAACCTGATTTGTTGCATGAATTTCATTGATTATTCAATATATATCGACTAGATAAATAGGTAACATTACAGGTTTCATTTTAAATGTATCACTTTATACATAAATATATTTAATCATTTTATGGTATTTTTACAATTATTCACAATATTACAGTAACTGAAACATAATCGATTAATCACTTAAGAGTTCAGATTGTACCTTTCCTCTTTACACCTAAACATTCATAAACAGTCACTCTCTATATTATCTTTGGAATGAGTTGTACGACTAACACTAAAGAGTTTATCGTATTCGGCATCACCACCTCCGTGGTCTTCGTAATCGTAATCATCATAAAAATATTCATTACTAGTAGTGTCTCTTACAACTGTAGTTGTATATACCCTGTTGCTGTAGGTGTCCTCAGTAGACCCCGTGTATGATGGAGTAGAGGGACTGTTCAGCACGATTACAGGGTAGTCGTGTCGCGTCCCTCTTACAGCTTCCTGCTATATCTCTTCCATGACAGTTTCCTGGTTCCATCTTTTTCTATTGTTACGTTTCTCAATGACGGGAATGAGGAATAGAATGATTCCACTTAAAGATATCGTGCCCGCGGCTACGTAGAAGCCAGGCGCGTATGAGTTCAGTTGATCATAAAGCCAACCTGAAATATGCAAGAAGAGACATATTAAAATAATAAATGGTAAGTAACATACTTCTATTTTAGGGACCTTCAGGGCTGCCTGATCGAAAACAAGTTGTATAAGTATTTGAAGTTATCTAGTGCTTGTTTTAACATCATTAATCGTATCATTAACCGTAAATTAGAATACATTTTCTTTACGTTACCTGCAAAAGGTGGTCCTATCAATGAAGCAATCCCTTGAAACAACAGCAGCAGACCAAATGCGTTGGTTAGTTTCTCAATGCCGAGTAGATCTACCAGTACCACGGATGTCAATCCTACGTAAGCACCAATAGTGAAGCCAAACGTTGTCGCATATAACGCTAGACCCCAAAATTCCCAGCATGCCATCGCCAAGCCAGTACCTACGACAAACAAAGTATCTATAGTAGCCATACACGAATAAAATAAAAATATAAGCCAGAAGAATATACTTACTTATACCGGCTATCGTAAGACACAAGTTGTAAGCCAATAATCGGTTCACCCATGGCTTATCACTTATATACCCAAGAATAATCCTTCCCACTAAATTAGAGGCACCAATTATAGATATTAAGTAAGCTGGATTTGCTATTCCTAATTTCTCACTCATAGGAACAGTGTATACGTACGGTATATAAAAACCAATACTAGTTAAAAAGTTAGAAAGTGAAAATAATATAAAAATTGGATCTATTAAAAGAGATAAGTCAAGCATTTCTGATAGAGCGTCTTTGAATTCCTCCGAGCATGGGAGCCAGCCACATCTTTGCACGGGTGCTTCTGATGGCTCTCTTAGTACTACTCTTTCCGGAGAAGTTCCCCTGAATCTTGCGAGACTCGTCATACTGCCCTGGTACAAAACATCCGGTCGCAACATGATGCCGCTGCCGTGCCGGGAGTGTGATTGATGCTTCAAATCATTCGGCTTATTCAATGCTGGCTGAGAAAGTGTGAGTCTGGCAACATCATTCTCCTCATTCTTTCCATTAGCTCTCGCTACATTCTCGGAGCTTTGTGAACGTTTGAGCGGAGATTTCTTAGATTTTACCAACATAGGCTCCGATGCTGGCGTTTTAGGCGGTTCTGGAACCGCTTTGAACATCAGTCCTAGTGGTATGCAGTTGAGAATTAAAGCTCCGATGATGGCCATCGCCCCGCGCCATCCATAATTGGATATCAGACTGGATGTGATTGGCGCGAACAAGAATGTCCCCAAACCCGACCCACATACAGCGATCCCTGAAAATAGAAACAATCTATTTAAGCAATGTTATCATCCCCAATACAATTATTTCAATTTACTGTCATCGCAAATTTATCAAGAGTCATCTGACGCTGCCTTTCCTTCATCCAAGTTGGTATTTTTAAATTACATTATCATCAGGATAATCGAAATTTCTATGTCAGATAAATAAGTGTGTAAGTATTGTGTAATGTAAAAGACAAAGTAAATATAGTAAAGGGTGCATACCTGTAGCAAGACTGCGATACCGCTCGAACCAAACAGTTACACTAACTATAGCCGGCAAATAAATGAGACCGAAGCCCAGCCCGGTCCCAACTCCGATTGTAAAGATAAGAGTGAGAATGTTGCCGGCGCATGCAGATGCAATCACGCAGGTGGCGGATAGCAAGGCGCCGGCAATTGTCACCTTCTGACATCCCCAACGATTCACGAAGGAACTTGATATTGGACCTGGAAATGAGTTAAAATTTACTTAGTCTATTGAAAGAATCTGGCTAGGGGAAGGGTAAATAAGGAGATCGTATGGTGTTTTGTAAGATGCTAATGGAAAACTCTAATAAGTGCATTGATAATAATTTTGTAAAATATCAATTGTGCGTGATTCAATACTCATTTACATAAAAATAAATCTAGATATAGTCGTAAGTACAGATCAAATTATTTTCGTATATGTTTAAGGTCCAGATATTATCTCAAAAATAATACAGACAAAAGTAAATAAGTTTTTAGGTTAATAAGTATCATATTCATCAAAATCTCATCAATCATAACAACATACAGCTCGTAAAAATTATACGTGTGTATGAATAAAATTATATTATGTTTGCCTTATACATTTGATAAATTCATGTTTATGTATTATCTTTCCCTACGAGTTTTTCCGATGCTCATATCAGTTAACTTATGTACCTCGCATGTCATAAAGCTATTAAAGATTCTTAGCTGTTCCGATTATTGTCGGGGTGGTGATGGCACAAGACTGTTATGAATAATCTATTTACTTCGTTATTTCGATTTATTCGTTATATTTAGAACACAATATATACTAGAAAATATTATTTGATTCTTTATCCGGCTTATAAGAGTGTGTTTATGTACCATCTCAATCCTTTATGTATATTCTAGAACTTACGAATACAGGAGTAAGGTGTAAGTTTCACGTAGGACAAACAGTCATTCGATGCTTCAATTACAGGAGGGAAGTCAAATGGTTTTTTTTTGTTTTTTTAATCAATCACGAGTTTATACATACCCGAGCTTAACGTGACCCCGACAAGGATAGAGACGATCCACGCGGTCTTGCCTTTGCCCTCATCGAAGTAGGTCAGGAACTCTGCATAGAATACGCCGAACGAATAGGTCATGCCGTCGGCTGGAAACAAATAATGTCTATTAAAAATATATGCATGGTTTTATTTTATGACTACTTTCTGCTTTCCCATAAAAGGGTAACACTTCATATTATGATAATATGAATGTAACAAGGTTTTACTAATACACACATACTCGTTAGTATTGTTTGTTAAAATTCATGGCTTAAAGGTAAACGATCGATTATTTACCTGAACTATTTTTCTGTGGCGAAATTTTTGGTCATACACAAGACAATATATGATGGCGACAAAATTCTTTAAAGATTTATCTATTTGTACTCATATTGATTGTTCTGTCTTTATCGTTGAATGTGACAGAGTTCTCATTCCAACGAAGTGGGTTAACATGATAGGACCGTGGTAAAGTAACAAAGGTATATCAATGGTAACAGACAGGAGCATGCGACACGTGCATGCGGAGAATAGCCTCGACGCTCCACACGAACAAAAGACTGCTTGCGTAAAGGGTTTATGCAAAAGGGAATAAGGAATGTCTTCAACACGTGCTTGACGGCTTTCTCGTCAAGTTGAGAATGTTAGTATAAAATGTTTTATAAGTAAATTAGAATGGGAAAGATAAGTTTTTTTAATTAGAGATAGTAAGTCACAAATGAAGACGAATATGAATGAAGCTTTGAATGCAATGAGTTTGAAAAGTATTTGACCCCTTTCGAGTTATATCGGAAATCTTCATTATTTCGTAATCTTCACATTTAAAAATACGTGAGGTAATAAGAATTAAAATAATTAATTTAACGAATTGAAATTAATATTAAATTGTTGATATTGTTTAAAATGTTGACCATCCATGAATCCAAGATCGTATGGATTATATGTCTTGACAACAACATTTTTCGATGATTTCTAGACTGAAATTCATTTATGTTTGTCATCATTAATTTACAATTGTTACAGTTAACATTTTATTGTAGATTTGATATGATTATCAATCCATAAGCCGACACTCAATCAATTCAATGATAGTGTATTTGATAATACTTTGATTGACAATATTGTCTTACTAAATGAATCCTAAATTGATTAGGCTTGACAATATATTAGATAGTAACTAGTGGAATATTTTTTTGTATACGATAAGAAACAGAAGAACTGCTACTAATATTTTGTATCTGCTTTTGTTGGAATGTACTACAGTGCAAGTTAATTTTCAATTTTAACTGTAAATTGGCAACAGTCTTAAACATGACCAAGGTCGGAATGTAATAAATCGAATGTAACAATGTTGGAGTCTGTTATTTTTATTGTGGCCAGTTTACAACGATTGTAATATGAAATTCAACGTTAGAGATCACGAGTCCGCGTGGTGGCGGCGTGACGCGTCGTCAGTGGGCGGCAATGGCAGTGACCTAGTCTTTGATCGAAATACTATCAACTGACTGATTTAGTTTACGAATAAAACATGTAATGCCTTAATGGCCAGGATTACAGAATTTGGACCTCGTATACAATGACGATACACGACCTTAGTGATTCCGGACATAGATCCAATGTATCTCATTTAGAAGAAACTTCATCTTAGTAATTAAGCATCATATTATAGGGGAATTTCGACGTTTTAACAAAAATTGTTTCGATGATATTAATAGCTTAATCGTTCCGATACTATTCATTGGCAAGCGCGTAATGTGAAAACAAATTAAGATCGGTTCTAATTCGGGTCACTTTATAAATAGTTATCGAATGCAAACACATGTTATCTGAATCTCGAGCAAAGATCTGTACTATTAATTATCAGTACAATAAAAATTTCTTATCCTTTAGTAAGGAAATACGATAAACACTTCTATCTCCGGATTTAATCTTGAGTTGTCGACTCTTAACAAGGACGTTGTAAAAATGTCAATAAAATATTTTGAACCCAAATTCTAATGATTAAAGAAACAATCTTCGAATCAGGGGATCGTTATTTCGAATGTTAATTTCATTTTTCTTACAATTGAAAGTTTAATTTCTGTGACATACCATTGTAACTATTTTTATTTACTTTAAGAACGTTCTATAGACCATTCTCTACATCTTCTGGTAGCCACTGCCTAAATTCTTTGTCTATCAATTCGTCTTTAGTATAGTTATAAATTGAAAGTAATATTTTTCTATGTATGTATCGTCTGATGAGTGTGGTGCCCGAGGCCTAATTTAAGTCCCTTTCTCTTTACCACCCTTTTCTTATGAGAGGATGGGAAGGGGAAGTGGATTTGACGATGGAGGAGGTGCATAGGAAGAGGAAATATCCTCTTTATGTGCGTCTCCTCCTCCGTCGGATAAGGGTAGGCGACGTATCTGCAAATGCAGATGTCTATGGGCAGCGGTTGCTTCGCCATTTTGGCGGATTCAGGTGGCTGCTTGCTCCTTTGCTATCTTATGTTATAAAAAAAAAAACTAGTGAAGTGGATAGTGATAGGATAGATTACGTGATAAACGCCCACTAACACACCCATATAACATGTTTATTTTATAAAGATAAATAAAAAAATTCACAACGCTTATTATGAAACATAAGTTTAAATTGCGTAGCGATTTTCCTTGCAAATATCGACATGTGTTGAGGGTGATAACAGATAACTGTGAGGTCGTAATGTCAGACCAGTGACGCCGCTCTGTATCGCGAATATTGTTATTTAGTTATCAATAACTTGACGCCAACAAGCTCAAGTCTAGCGCATTGTAATGAACATCAGATATACGCATCCGTGTTGACCGTGAATATCTGCATAAAGTATAAATAACAAAATAACAACTCTAATGCAACATAAAAGTTCTGTTTCGATGTAAAATTAGTCACAGAATTAATCATCTTAACCACTATAACGATGTAAATATTTTACTTTTCAAATCAACATTGTCTAAAAGCTAGTGTGTGTAATGTTTGTAACAAAATTCTCTTACATGTAAATGTTCATAACCGATATTATTACGATAAGTAGGTTAAGAATAAATATTACCAATTTTCAATGTTATGCTGATAATAGAGGTTATAATAATTAAGATGACATTGCCAAAATTATCAAAGTATATCTTTAGCAGATTTTCCATAAAACTGAAGTCACGCTAACTAATAGCCCCGGTTTAGAGGAAAATAAGCTTTAATCAAGAAAGCAATATAGAAGATCGTAATAATCCGTGTGTCTTTAGATTGAACAAGAACATCTTAAAAACCAGATTCCAGAAGTAAAAAATACTACAGGATAGTACACTTACACACCATAAATATTCATCAAACATAAAAATTTGGGTCCTATTATGATAGGTACTGCTAGGTCATGGACTCACTTATAATGACCGTGAAAATTTGCTCAGTTGTGCTTTCTCAAAATTATTATTGAACTAGTTTCTTTTTGTTATGATATTGGCACGTGGCCAACGTAATGTAGGAATTAGGTCTTAACCCACGCGAAGGTCTTTGTCGTCGACTAAATCGTAATCTCAAAGTAACAACTGAATCTAAGGATTTAAAAAACATAAGTAATGTTTAATTTTATATTTTTTTTGTGTAAAATCTTTGTAAATTATGGATATGTGTAACATGTAGTTCTCGTAATAAATACCTTCTTTTAGAAACGATAATTTTTAGCTTTTTCATAACATTATTAAAAATATTTAGTCATTTCTCGTGAAATATATCTATAACAAATTAAAATAAAAACTGTTGTTTTATCTGTTGCCCATATGTGATAGAGCACGCTATATAATCTGTGTTCAATACAGTTGGTATGTTTCTGGCTTGTTTACCTTATGACCACCTGTATCATACGTTTACGTAAAAAAATAATAAAAACATACAGACGAATTGAGTACCTCCTTCTTTCGGGAAGTCGGTCAAAAATGGCGCCATTTTCGCATTTTAATATAAGAAGTGGTCTTTAATTACTTAACTATGCTTCAATGCAATATTCGTATTCAATAGTAAGGTGACGTTTTGTTCACAAATTGATTCGACTGGTACTGGTTCAGTAGAATTTGACCTTAATAAACGATACAATGAACGGATTTCGGTCGCGACCTAAGTAAATTTATACTGGATCGATTTAAATGAATTATTAATACAAATGACAAACTGTCTCATCGATTAGAGAAAGTTTTCAGTTTTATATTATATGGTGGTAAGGTCTATTCATTGTTATGAATGTACAAGAATATGCAGACATACACACTTGTGTTCCGATATAAAAAATACACGAAAAATAAAACAAAATGCACTAAAAACAAAACAAAATACACCAAAAACAAAATATTCTCAAAAAAAACAGTACACTAAA